ATAGTGTCTATTAAAGGTATTCCCTTTATTAAGATGCATCCAAATTATGTTCTTCAAACAAAATAGTGTATTATTTTATTTAATTTTGATCCTTCCTCTTAAACTTAATAAGATTTATTTAAAGGACCTTTGTTAGATATAATGGAAGAGTTACGATAGAAAATATTTGTTTAAAAATTATTTTATTCAGTGTGTACAATGATGGCTATAGGCATTTACAGACTTCTTAAGTATTTCCTGAGTATTTCGTGAAACTTTTAGTAGTATTCATTGAATATTCAATGCACTTATAATATGTAGTGTATGTACAAAGGTGCATAAGTGCAACAGTCATCATTTTATACTTTACATAATTCCATAAGAAGGAATTTAACGAGGTTAGATTTATCAATCAATTACCAAACAGACCTACAATTGAATATTTTTGTTACGTATGTTCAATTTATTTAATCTATTTACTTTTAAATGTCGTTTTTAATATCCCACTTATATATTTAATAAGTAATTATTAAGGAGTTGGAAAATCATATTTATAAGTAGATTTCATATAATTTGATAAATATTACTTATTTCTAAATGTACTTACAATTCAGTATACGTTTTCGTCGCAAAACATTAACTGTGGTTGTTAGAAAAATAACATTTCAAGTATCTAAAGAAAAATTCATTCCACATCAAATAATCAGTCCTCTAATTCCGTTTAATTAAAAACGAAAATAAAACTGACATCTACTTAATTTCAGAAAAAAAATAATTAACACTCGTAGCACTTTATTTCACTTATCCTAGAATACAATTACGTGTCAAATATTTGAAATGATAAAAGTATTGACCTCATACCAATTACAAAGAAAAGAATGAAAACTTTATAAATTACAATACCGACATCAACAACGAACGAAATGTGAAATAATTAGTTTTTAACATTTCAGACGATTTTCAAACATGTAAGTGATAACTTCAAGCGTAATGTTCGGCGTAAATCAAGGAACGCGTGTAAGTATTCGTTTCCAAACAGCTGCGGAGGTGCTTTGTGAAAATTGTTCATAGATATCGATGACGTGCCTTAGTGAATCACGCACAGTCGCGACTGTTGTTTCTAACAAGGAACTTGACATTCCTAAGGAAACGAGAATTTATTATCGCTTTACGTATTCTTCGCGTTTTCCGTAAAAGGAGCGGACTAACGTCTTCCAGGAGATAATTCATCGCTCTCCGGACGATTTAACTGGATGATTTATTAGTTGCTTCGTTTACAGTAAAGACCGTTGATTGCATACAAAGGGTGAAAACTCTTCCCCTGGGATCAGGAAATATGATTAATGCGATCGGACAGGATTGTTTGCTTTTAAACTCCGCTTACACCTGTAACTTCGCATTATTACAAGACGTTTCCTTGTTCCGGGTGATCCTTTCTTTTTACTTTGCACCTTATAAGAGATCAATCGTAAATTACTTGCAACATCTTTAACAGGCTTCACACTTTACAATATAACTATTTTATTAATGAAATGTTGTTTTAAATGTCATGACAGTTACGACGCATGTATAAACGACTGAATCTTTAACGATGACTTTTTATACGACTCACCTGTAAGAAATACAAATCATCCAAACAAGTGTGTAAGTAAGTACTGTATACACTAAAAAGGTTATATCCACAAGAATTGTGCATAAACCAGTCATCATTTACATGAAATATTATAATAATCGATGTATGATCGATTACGAGATGAGTAATCGCTAACATTCCGATCTTGCAACTTTGATCATTTATTAAGCAGTTTTGCGACTATATTTAATTCAAGGTAATATTGATGTGTTCAGTGCGTTTAAAATAGAATAGAAAGATGCATATGAAATATTGCAAAATGCATTCGTTTTGCACAGAAAACGGTGAAGTAGAGAATATGCAACTAATTGGAGAGGTCGTTGTATGGTGAATGCTTATGTTGAAACAAACGAATTATTGTAGTCGAATAAAGACAGTAATTCTGTAAAAAATATTATTGTCTATTCTATAAATAAATGTTGAGAAAAAGAAATGTATAGCATTACTAATATCAAACTACCAATATCACACTACTAATATTGTAGCTTACCACTACATATGTATAATTTACTGATAATTTAATAATTTAATGCATAAATCTATATTAGAAGAAATGTTCGTCGAATAAAAATTTGTATTAACTCTTTGTATGAAGAAACAATTTTCCTTTGCTTCCAGTGTTTACAAAAACTTTCCATATTAACACATTCGTGGCCACTGATGTGAATTCACGCCTTGTCAAATATAACTGCCAAAACATTTTATTCTTCTGTTTTTTCCATTTTCGACTATTTTAGTGGAAAGTACTTCATTTCAAGAAACAGATTATTAGAAGATTAATATTTCAAAACAATTTTTCTTATTTTTGTCTCTGTTCTAACGTCAGAAATTAGCTGCGATTACCTTAAAATTTTCTTCGTTTTCACCGGCAATGAATATTAGAAAAACGAACAGTTTTCTCGGTCGGGACTGTGTTAACTATTCCTTATTATGAACATACTATTTTACGAAAACTTTTATGCAAAATAACACGTTAAGAATCTTCTGAACAAATAATAAATAAAATTACACTGTTACGTAAAATAAATGATTCCAACCAATAAAAGGATAGAATACTTTAGAACTGCTGTTCAAATTTTGCGAATTATCGTGTGCGAGTGTTACGTAATGACTATTAATTTAGCATTAGGCTGTAGTTAGCGTCTATTACAGTCAATTTAACCGTCTTATAGTTAAAAGGAAAATTAGCAACAAAGTAACCTGTTCGAACTTTGACAAGGTATTGTGTGTATCACGTAATTGCATGTTACTAATGAGAGGTTGCTGCCAAGTCGGAGACTGAATCCTCTGCGCGGCATGTTCGCGAGCCATTCATGATATTTAAAATCAGTTGATGCTATCGGTATCATTGTCATCGAATCCGGGTACAAGAAAAATTCAGGCGGTCGTTAATTCTCGACGGTTTATCTGCTAGCGTGGTCGTTCGTAACGAAATCGGAGATGTCCAGTGATTGAAATCGTAATTGATGAACTCACACCGTGTAAGCAAATGCAGATTGAATTTCGTAACGGCTGTCGATAATTAAGTAACATTTATCTATGAAGCACGTTTAATTTTTTCCAGGCGTTAGAAATTTACTGCTAACCAACAAAATTGTAATATATTAAAAATAAGTATAATATAAGAAAATAGAAGAAGTAACATTATTAATAAACTGCAATTAATGAAATACAAGTTCAGCAGATTTATTTCTCTTAAAAGGAAAATGCAAAATTAGTGCTATCACAAGTGTCAACTGAATAAACAAAACGTTAACGTAAATTTCAACGAATTGCCAATAACCGTGTCCCCTACTTCCCAATTTGTACTCTTTTTTATTGCTTAGCGTCAATCAATAGACTCCAGGGGATAAATCAGTCAGGAAGTAAATCAGTCACTGTTTCTGGAAACAAAGGACCACAATAACGTGACACAGTATCGTTAACCCATTTTCTGGTGACATTCAGAAAAATGCCTTTTAAACATGATTTTTTCTTTTATAAGTATTAAACTATCTTGTTTTTTTAAATTGAATGCTCTTAGAAATCAAAAAATAGTGATAACACAGAAAATACCAGGCTCATTGTATACTATTATACATCGATTTAACTAGTTTTGTACATTTATGACACCACGTAACAGGAAAATAAAATATTTTAGCGAAACACGGGATACGCAACTGATCCTCACTGTCAACGACCGCTCGACGTTCTCCTCAGCTAATTTTCAATATTTACCTTCTACATTCCATTACGTTCGCATTATCATAACGATCTTTTAAAGTACAGAATTCTTACATAATAGAACAATGAATTGCAACCATAGACGACAACTTCATTTTCCTACGTACAATCCCAAACTAATGTATAATTAGATAATCGATCAATAAATTTACCTTGCAGTCGTAACCAACAATACAATTTTCCTACGTGCAATCTTAAACCAATATATAATTAAATAATCAACCAATGAATTTACCTTGCAATCGTGAACAAGAATTTAATTTCTCTACGCACAATCGCAATCTAATACATAATTAAATAATCGAATTAATCTTGCAACCAACAACAGTTTAATTTATAATTAAATAGTTGATGAATAATTTAACCTTCCTGCCATAACCAATAATTTAATTCTCCTACGTACAACCTTAAAATCATGTATAATTAAATAATCGACCAACGAATTAATCTTGCGACCGTAAACAACAATTTAATTTCCCTATGCACAATCGCAATCTAATTTACAATTAAATAATCGATCCATAAATTAACCCTGCAACTGTAAACAACAACTCAATTCCCTCGCGTTCAATCCCAAACTAACTTCATTCATCATTCGCCAAACACCAATCCCCTTTCCATCACGTCAACGAAAACACCTGATCACGATGCGTAACTACGCTGCAACGACGCGACACCCCTAGAAGACACGTACGCCTACCAAACCCTGTGAGGTCAGTATTCGTGGTACATAGAGGAGCAAAACAAGACCCCGTACACCCTCGAAATCAAGCTTAACCCGGCGACGACCGACGGGGTCACCGAAATTTTCCGAAAGAGGTGGAAACCGGTGTCGGTTGTCCGCGTAGCGGTCACAGGGTTAAAGAAATTATGACAATTGAGTAAGCATCCTATAACGGGGACCCGATGACATTTAGCGCAATGTGACATGCTGATCCCCGGGAAGGTAGTCTCTCTCCGGGTGATGTACAGTGTGTTGTTGTCCCCGTACATTTTCCCCACACATGCAACAGAGGCGTGCATCGCGCGCGTTAAATGAGGATCCGTGTAGAACCCCCCTTCGGCTCCCCCTAACCCGATGTCTCAGTCTCTTTGTCTCTCTCCCTCTCGCCGCCGGTCGGCCAGCCAGCATTTCCACCTTTGCCATTTCTCTCTGTCTCTCTGTGTCCCATGTGCGTCCTCTTAGGAGCACAGTGGCCATCGTTACTTAGGCAAACGGTCGTATTGGTGATGCCTCCAGGGGTATATATACGACGAGCGCTGCGGGGCTTGATAAACACTTGCCCATCAGCGATTACTGCCGCACCATGTATACGTCACTGGTAAGCGCAATTAAGAAGGGAACAAACCCTGGCAGCTGCGACAAAAGTAGAACGCGTCTGACCTAGCCGTGAGAGGATTCGGGGGTGTGCTCGCTCGCTATCGTGGGGACGACGGTCCCGCTCTGGAACACCTTCAGTGAGCGCTACCGATCTGAGGAACCGTCGAGTGCCCGGACCGCGATTCCGATACGTTTCTGTGCGTGATCTGTACCGGCAGCCTTGTTGTGGAACGTTACCTGTGCTTTTTTTTATCTATTTTTTTTCCTTCCCATTTCTCGGTTAACCGGTTATAAGTTTCTCGCGGACGATTGACGGCTTGTTTCGGGAATCGATGAAGTGCAGGTAAGTAGGGTGAATACGTTGATGTTGGAGTTTCCGCGGGATGTATCTTTGGGGTTGCAAGTAACGATGGGCATCAGTGATCAAGAATCGGATTTATCAGCAACAATTTAGTTGGACAATTTATTCCTTGGGCTTTTCTACTTGGAGCTTTAGATTGTAGGGAAAGGATATTTTAATTTTCGCCAAATTGGCGTAGGAATTAAATTTGGACTATTATAAGTTAATTTATTACATTCGCTAGGAGCACACGCTTTTAAAGACTTTGCTCGTAACTTAATACCGATTAACGTCTCGTAAATCTCTGTTTAGGACTAATCTTGTAAAATTGATAATTGGAACGTTAGAGATCTCTAACTCGAGTTTAAAAGTATTAGAAACCTCCATAAACGTTTCCTTCTGCTATAATACTTCCAATAATTCCAAGAAAGTTTAGTGCTCCATAACGGTGTCTTCAATGCTAACGGTTTAATCAATTTATTTACTTTATACGCGTTTGGAGTATCAGACCGAAGACGAACTCTATTAACGCACATTTGTTTATTCCCATTGATTCCGCTGTTCCCGGTCGTTATTTTTATTTACGGCTGCAGAGTATTTTATTAATTGGAAGGACGCGTCGGGCGCGACGAGATCAAACGAATCCGATGATTTTTAACTCGGTGTCCATTCGGTCGGACTGGATCTAGCGTGTCCGACCTAATAACAGCCGCGCTACCGACGCCCCGTGGCTGACTCAAAACGAAATAGCTACTGCGCGCGACGGGTTCGCCGTGTTTTCGGTGCAGGGGAATTAGCTACACACCGGCTCCCGCGATCGATTTCTCTGATTGATGCGCGGTCTGACGTTAGCGTTTGAATCGCACCCTGCAGACGCGTAATTACGCGAGAATCGATCTTCCGCGACGGAATTTATAGACGTTTAAACGCGATAAGGTAAACAACGGACGAGGAAGTATCGCGCGCGCACAGGAGAATCGCCGGTGCCTCTTCATGCGCGATGACGGTTGTATGGGAGAACTGCGCATCGAGTTTCCTCGGATGTAGTGACATAATCATTGACTGCTCGTTCGAAATTCTGGTAGAATTCTGGTTGTAAATCGTGCATTTAAATTGTATAACGAAAGACAAGAAGTTGAAGGTTTAGATGATGTTAGCTTCGATTAGAAGTAAACGAGTTCCTCGTAGTAAAAATTGTTTTGTGGTGTGGTTTCAATGAATTTATGTGATTTTCTTTAAGTACTATGCTAAATTGTGTATATGATTCGTTGAATTTACGTATTTGAAAATTGGTCGTAGTTAATTGAACTAAATTGAGCATAAAAGTAACAATATTTAATTTGACTGAAAAATTAAGGCTCGTAAAATTATGTTAAAGTGATTTATCAATTGTTATCCGTGATATTATATCTACTAGTAGGTAATACACTATATTCCTAATAAGACAGTAATGTATTTTAAATTGAACATATTTTTATAATAAGACACAGATTTCCTACTTAGTTAATAAAAATCCACTAAGAGGTTAAAGGATAACGAAAAATATTGTAAAGAATACATTTAACTCTTCTAGAATCAACTATTGAATTGAGTAGAAAATTTTAAATCAATCAGTACATCGATTTGCGATCAATTAATCTAAAACCAACATCTTCGTATTCATTCTCACCACGAAACTGCAACAATCTGCACTCGGACAGGGACTGTCCCTCCCAAAGAATAAATAAAAAGCATCTAATAAAAGACACAACTTCCCTTACAATTAGAATGTCCAATTAATACACGAAAACCCAAATCGCACTCAACATGAAGTGTTCAAACACCCTAACGATCCCCCAGTCTCGAACGGCAGCTCTCAGCGAAACCAGGCAAACGAAAATCCAAGTTACATCAAGTACAAAGTCAGCACTTGAACTTGTTGAAATCCTTAGGTAGCCATGATCGCGTTGGCTGGCTGCGTGGCAGCAGCCCCAGCCGACGATGTGATACCGATCGTCAGCCAAAGCCAAGAGGGACCGAACCCGGACGGCTCGTACAAGTGGAGCTACGAATCTGGGAACGGGATCAAGGCGGAAGAAGAAGGTCACCTGGAGAACGCGGGTCAGGAGAACGAGGCGATGAACGCGCAGGGCAGCTTCAGCTACCCCAGCGACGACGGCCAGCAAATCTCGCTAACATATGTCGCAGATGAGAACGGATTCCAGCCTCAAGGCGCCCATCTGCCCACTACACCGGAGATCCCGCAGCTTATCCAGAAAGCACTGGACTGGATAGCGGCGCATCCATCCAAGGACGATCAGAACCAGGTGTAAACAATAGGACGTCCGTCGTCAGTGATCTCACCGAGCCCTTTTTCTATTAATTCTGTGCTACCACCCACGAATCACGATGAGTCGCTCCGTCGTCGCTTCTCGTTCCAATGGCTCTAACGAAACGCGTATATTACTCTCTGGTTCAATTTGTTGTACATATTTATTGTATACTTACGTACGGATTTATTATATATATATATATGTATGTTGTATCAATGTATATCGCTATGTTTTATTATGTATTTGCGTACTATGTGGCGCAGGCAGTCGCGAGCATCTACTGCGAGCAACGAGACGTCGATGGTAATCGTTGAGTATATGCCACCGGTACATACGGAATAAACGTTGCAATTCAATTCAGAGATGTTGCTTTCTTTTTTGCATTACCATTGTGTGAAATATTTTGTGTTCCGTAAACTTTTTTCAGCCTGATCATGTTTGTGATTTTTTTTATGTGTTCTCTTGATACCTCTTGAGGATACTTTGAGTTTTTGAAGAGTAGTAAGAGTATTAAGTCGTTACTAGTGTATATGTTTCGATTTTACGCACATTAAAATGAAAAAAATGATGTGTGTACTCGTTAAACGCAGGACGAATTAATATTTTAATGAAAAACTAAAGCAGAACAAAGAAGAATTAACTTATAGACTAATTAACACATTTTTCACCTGATTTGTTTACATGCGTTTTAAAAAAGTCATTCGGAATTAACATCTAACGCATTAGCGACATGGTCTGGAGCACACGCACCAAACACTGATGATACTTCCATAAAGTTGTCTGCAGTGGTTTGCGTAAAATTCAATAATTACATTTTACATCTTTATTGCACAGCACTGTGTAATGCAAGTGCCGAAGGACAACTACTTTCTTGTTGTGCCTCTAAACATTTCATTTACTGGCAGTTATTTAATAGTTTCTTAAAAAGTAATGGTTAACAGCTAAGACTATGTCTACAGTTATCTCGAATAACATAATTTATTAATTTTGCTGAAAGGATAATTTTTTGAAACAAAATTCTTGACCCCCTTTTTAATATAACATAATTATTGAATAGTCTGTGAACAGTGCAGTTAATTTTCTTTTCAGAATTCGCCAAAAGGACGTGTTACTTAAACCTCAATTTCCTTGTAATCAATTTCGTAATTTAATGGTTAAAACCTAAAATCGATTGAAGTCTTAAAATGAATTTTTAATCTAATAACTTCGGTTAAACATTATCGGTCAACCGCCACCGAGGGACGGACGGTGGACGCAACAGTTTGCTCCCAGTTTTGTGAAGCGAGCTAGACGATCTGTTAACGCCAAGTTTAATCAATGTAACTTTATATCAAGACTCTATTTATTCTTTGGCACAGAATTGGTCTGGTTCAGGTTGAATTTACGAACCAAACTGGATCAAACAGAAACGCAGATTAAGTTAAATCTAGTTTACAAACACGTTAGCAGAAGGTAGGTCAGGGTGGGTCATTTACGGATGAAGCTCGCGGCCGACAGAGTTGCTGAGTAAACGCAAATTAAACTCAACTTTCATTTTATGTAGGGACATTTCGTTGCCATTATTTACGATTTATACGTGACTAATGCGCAATTTAGTCAATTCACACATTTCTTAATTTATTTCGTAAAATTGAAGTTAAATGAAAATATTGAACACTATTTCTTAGAATATAGAATTAATCGTCTATCCATCAATCGTTTATTGTTTTCTCAACGTGTTATTGTGTATTAGCTTTTATCTTCTTAAAATTATTTTAATAATGACTAGTAGAAATTTAGTACCTGATTTATAAAAAATAATTTCCGCATAGGATCAACAGATAAAATATAATTATATTTTGAGATTATAATGTTTATTAATGTTACCCCAGAGTTAAATTCCATTAAAAATTTCTTAAAGAAAAAGGACAATTCAATGCAATAGTGATTTCCTATTAATACGAAGACTCATAAATTGTGACATAAAATTTAATATGTCTCCTTAGGTTATTACCATTATAATGAAGCCTTAAATTTTATTCTATAATATATTAATACTACGTAAAACTGATTTGGTTCATTTCAAATTTGTCAGAAGAAACGATGTTCAATATAATCAACTTTTTAATTCTAAATGTAGAAACATGTTCATAACCTCACGGTAAATTTATTTTCTAAAATACTTCACTCACTGACGCACGACCGGGACAAACGCCAAGCTATTACAGTCCATTTAGAATGCTAAGAATGGATCGCTCACTCCTACCTAGCACAAAAAGATTAACCACCTAACTAGAACAATATATCGCCGATTTTTTAACTCCTATACACATTCATTGACAATCTAAAGGAACGCAATTTCTCGAAGCAACCTGATCTGTTCCTAGCTCTGTAAAGTTCTCGCTGATTTACGATAGAAAGTTCCAGCGCGAGGTAGTGCAGCGTTTTAAGCACGTGCCCGTTGTAGATCAGTGGTGCCACAGTTAATCAATCACGATACTGTGGCCATACAGTCAGTGTGTCCTCGTGTAATTTATTTTGAGATGCACGTCACGTGCGCAGCGCAAACTTATTCAACTTTGTAAACCTTTCGTTGCCTCTAAAACACGAAATGTCATTCTTCTAACTTAATCCCTTAACGATTGACTAAATTTACAGAAAACTTGTGAATGCAAAGTATCACTTTTTATCTCGTTACTTTAGCATCTAGATATATATGTATGTATTTATAGTATAGTTATTATTATTGGAATTTAATAAGTAAATAAATAAAATACATGTATATATATATATAAACTATGTATATAAATTTGTTGAAAATTCTTTTTAACAGGGGAATCTATTTTTGTATACAGCATAAAGAGTTAAATTAAAATGTTTACATAAATAATTGTATAATAAAAAGTAATTACCTATTATTACATATTGAAAATACTTATCTGAAAAAAGAATTACTTCGGAAGAAATAAGTTAGCAACAATACAAAGTAAAGTTAAAAGAAAATGAAATATTAGGAGAATATGAAACATGAGACAAAACATGGACGTAGCATATTGAAAGGGTAAACATTTAAAGATGTACTATAGTTCAGAAAGATATTTTTATGAAAATATTTCGAATTTTTTAAGCAATGAATGAGCATAAATACTTAATGTTTTTTTATGTCGTTGAACGTATTTTTAAGATTACAAGAATATTTAAAAAATGACACATCATTCATCAGTATCAATTAAAAAGTGATCAATTAGAAAAAGATATGAAAAAGTTGTTTTATATTTCACGGTATGTAATTTCATTCAATGTAAGTATAACTGTTTGTCTAAATTGGAATTAGAATGATTAAAAAAGAAATTTTTGTTAAAAAATTTTTGTTACTTGATAATATATTCATTTACAGTATAATTATGTTTTATAATATGTTTAATATGAATTATATCAAATTCAATTGTATTCGTGAACAGTTATTGCTGATGTTTAAAGTTGATTTATCGACAATACCTGTTATGTAACCTCCTCAGGGCATGTGCCGTGTCAATTTGTCGTATCATACTGGTCTTCGGAGGTTCAAGGAACCGAAACCAATCGGATCTCGAAGAACTTTCATTGAACTTTCACAAATGACAGCATCATACTTTGCTATTTTAGTACCCGGAATATCCTGTATTTACAATGGACTTACACAATATTTGATCTTCTATCGTTTGCTGCCAATGAGTATCAATGATGCTACTTCTGTCTGTAACCTATTAGAGACTTAACTAAACTATTAAGTGAGAGTAACAGATCACAGATCTGTAATGCAAATAATTAAGTAGTACATATTATTCGTAATTTTTATTAGTCCATGACAAAAATATTTTTCTACTAGAAAAATTATTACATATTAACATACAAGGAATTATTTTTAACGAATATATACTAATGTACATACCCGTGTAAAAATACTTTCAAAGAATGTTTAATCAACTAAGGTAGCATGACATTATAATTTCTTAATATTTTTAGATAAAATATATGTTAAAACGATACGATTATTCTTTCACAATCTTTTATGAATTATTACTTTTAATTATTTATATTAATATAAGTTTCTTTCGTTTACTATAACCTCCGTATTAAATATAAATTTTCAATGTCTTAAAAACGAGATATTATTTAATAAAATCTTCCTCCAATACAAATGTATAAAAATAATCTTTAAAGTATTAGCTCTTTATCATTATTTGTAATTATGGAAAATATAACAGACAATTTATTGAGGAAAAATATATTAACGAATTACCGTGTCATAGGAAAAAAAACAGTATGTGGATGTTTATTTTCTATTCATTTGTCAAGTGTCCATTTCATATTTATATTTTTCAATCATTTTTATTTTCAAATGCATATTTGTTTATCCTTGTATTTATGTGCTTCATATGTACCAATTCAATGTTTCAATATCGTTATTCTATATTTATCCCAGTTATAGTACACAGAAATGAATGATTATTGCGATATGGTGCAACATTATTTATGCAATTCGATGAGATATTTTATCCGTTTTCTATTTATACGATACTGTACCTACTTACGTATATGGAAAATAATGTATGTGTCCTGCACGGGATGTTTTAATTGAATATTATCGGTCTCATTCATTCTTTCATTCGATCGCCACCCACGCTCCGACATAAATATGTCACATTCAATCCATACCGTAAACTACAACTTTCTCCTATCATTCTGCCTCCACCTTACCCCGCCTAACTCATTCGTTTAATTTCATATCGTATTTCTCTTTCATTCCGTTCCCTCTCGTTTACTTAATGTTTATTTGTACATTGCATACGAAGTGACTGTGAATTATCGTTAGTACCTTAAACGGTCAATAGAATTCGCTTAAAGAGACAAGTGCACGTCTTATAAATGCACTTACATCGTTAAACGAATCGATTTCGACATCTTTAACATTTTATCTGCTCGGGTAAGCTTTTTTATGGAAATTGGTTTGGGATTCTAGAAATACGTTATTAACACATTGTCGACTGCTAATGTTTTGCTAAAATTATCTACGGAAAAAAGGAAATTTTCAGCGATTTTAGACGCATAGAATTATAACATATATTTGAATGAACTTTTTTTTATTTAGATATAAGTAACTTCAAAAATAAAATTAATGATAATATCCTCAGTAATAGGATAATGTTTAAAAGTAAAAAAAAATACCGTTAACTGCAAAACAATCAAGAAATCATGCATATTACTAACAAGGAGAAAACTCGTTTCCAACGTGTGTCATATGAAAACGAGAAATCTCAGTCTCGATCGTTAAGGTGTTAGCACTAGCACAACTGATCGTTTAATATGATTAATATTTAATCCTTACAAACATTGCGATAATATATTTTTTTTGTTTCTTCGTATATTCATTATAGTATTCGAATATTTAACACTTTCAGGACATGAATAATTGCTAAATAAGAAAACTGAAACCCATCATTTTGACGGGTGGTGTAAGTATAATATTAAATACACCGCTTTCTCAATTACTTCTTTAAAATGATATTAAAACTAGTCATTGTTTTGCATATTAAGGTATTACGATGTTCTTGGGAAAATATTGTAACCTATGGTAACTAAATATGTATTGCTTAAACAACTTAATAAATATTACTTAAACAACTTTTTATTATGGGTTCATAAAATACAAGCTGTCAGTAGATTGAAAGTAACACCCGAAAAAAGGTTTTTAAACAAAAGAGGTAGCTAAAAGTGTGGTATGAACTATAAAATATAAGTGGTGCAAATAGATAAAGGTGATACGAATAAATAATTCGGTCAAGAGATGCTCAATTATACGTACATTAGAAAAATATTCAACATTAATGAGTATTAGTATTAACTAATCATAATATATAACTGTGTTATAGTAATACAACGTATAATATAAGTATATAGAAAATACTTTACTAGCAAAAGGAGTCCAGACAAGATATAAATCAGACAATAACGTAGACTAGGTCAGTATTAAAAAGTTTCGCTTGGAGTTCACCTTCAAACCTTGTATCTTGGACTCAACGAGGATGAAAGAGATGATGGTGCATGAATGTTGCAGTATGTGCGCGTGTCTCGTTGCTTTTATCATTTATTGTCATAAGCATCGACTCCAAATCAACGCTACTTTTACAAAAAAGACTTTTTTTAACGCTACAACTACCGAACGTTTAATGCGATTAATATATAATCCTTATAAAAATTGTGACAATAGATTTTTTACTTTTTCACATACTTATTATACGTGTGGTATTCAAATGAAATTATTCATTCTTAAAATCGTTTCGAATATTCAACAACTTTTAAGATATAAATAATTGCGAAATAAAGAAACTGGAATCAATCATTGCGATATGTGCAGTGACTTTGGTGTTAAAATTTTAATTTAAAATTATTTTCTAAAGTTAATCATGTTATAATAGTTTCTCCTTGATTAAACTTTCGGCTTTCGCTATATATAGAAAATTCTATAATATAAAGAATATTCTTTAAATTAAAATTTTGAAATGTATCTTTTGAACCTTCTCGTCCTCGTATGAAGAACATTCAAAATACTTCCAGAAAAATAGTAATTTTCTGTGCTTAAACGTAAACGAAGTATTAATATTTAACTAAAATGGAACATTGTAGAAAAATAAAACGTTCAATTTAATTTGCGTCTCTTTATTTACATTTTCCGGAAACTTACCGAACGCCTCGCGCATAATTAGAACATCAACAAGGAAAATAAAACATTTAAAATCAACCCTTCATTACACAACACAACACAGAAATATAAAAAGAACACGAAACACGTATACGACAATGAAAAGAATTTATTCCAGTCTCGCGCAGCACGAAAATATAAAACATCGAACGTTTCATCAGTGAAAAACATTAATCGTGCGATATCTTAAAAGCTAAATCCCGCATGATACCGAAATATTTACTTTCAATATTTGTTCACGTCGCAGCGTAAACATCGATACGAATTTCACGGTGCATTTCGTTCTCAAAGCAGGAATTCTCAAATATACATTCTCGCAAAAACATCACCGGAGGGCAAAGTCTGCCGAATGGTTTTGAGAAAAGGACGCAAGCTCGCAGGAAGAGAGTAGATACCTTCGCGGAATGTTATCTCGCTGGAATGGAACGCCATGCAAAATTACAATCTATTCTTCTCCTCTTTGTAGGGATGAGCAGCTAGCCAGTCCAGGGCGCGCTGAATGAGCGGCGGTATCGGTTGGGGCGGGGGTGGCGTTGGTAAATGCGCGCCGTCGAAAGTGGCTCCATTTTCGTTGGCCAGCCAACCAAGGTTAATTTTCGAGCCGTCCGGCGCGGTCCACGAGGCCGAGCCGCGGACTTCCTCGGCCTCCGCGTCCTTCTGCCCGGGATTCTTCAAGAAGCCCTCCTCTTGAACGGAGATCCCATTCCCGGTCTCCCATTTCGTAGAAAAACTGCCGTCCGGGCTGATGTCCTGGCTTTGACTGATGATTGGGATCTGCTGGTCCGCGGCCAACACCATGCCCGTCAGGCTCAAAAGGAATATCGCGCGAACGTACATCACTCGGACTGAAGTCTTTTCCCTGTAAAAGGTCCTTTATGTCAAAATCCTTTGTCGGAGTGATCAATTAACAGACTGTTTCCACACAATGAATTGAAATGAAACTTTGGACATATCTTTGATATAACTTTGAATATTTTGCCTTTGCAATATTCTATACTGCCCTGAGTTTCAAAAATTAACTCGTGAACGGTCAACAATGTGTTAACAGTAGAATAGTATTTACGTATCATGTATTTGTATTTCGAGAAATAAAGTATGAATAGTAATAATAATTATGATAATGTTAATAGTAATAGTAAAATATTAGTAATGCGTTATAATGTTAACACTAACCGTACCGGAACCAGTCAAATGATCGAATTTAAAATTTTGCGTTTTGTTTCGTTGATTTAACTTTACGTCAATTCTTATATTCTCCACTTAGTTTTCCAATGTTTGTCTTTCGTTTTATTTCTATTCCCACTAAAAAGAATTTATTATCTAACTTGTTTACCTTTATTTTCTAGTCAGTTATTTGACTGGTTATGGTAGGAAAAGTGCCGGTACGGTTAGTGTTAAGTAAGTACCAATTTAAACCTAACCCAAATGACTCGCCAGTGTGATCTGCAGTTAGGAAATAAAGGTGGTCCGTATAATACGCAAGTACCACTAGAACTACTATACCCGACAAAATGTTGGATTTCAGTTTTCTTATTTCGCGATTATCGATATCTTAAAAGTGCTGAATATCCAAATTGACTGTAGAAACAGTTTCATTTGAATATTATAGTAAATTCGTGAGATTGTCGAAAAAATCTGTTGGCACAATTTGATAAGGATAACATATTAATCGCATTAAACGCTCGGTAGTTCTAGTGTTAATAGATTCGTTACCACGTCATTCATCTATGAAGACTGCTTAAATATTTTTTTCGGAAGCTTATTCATTCAAACGTATAATACAAATTTAGCACGAACATTTGTAATGTATCATAAAAATAAAAATGTGTAATCAAAATTCGCAAAAAATACTCAAAACATGTAATTTATGCAAACTATGTTCGAAAATGTATTCTTGTAGTGAAATTACGTTAATAAGTGGGAAAAAGTTAGTTGACCTCCAGTTTATCATACAGTGGTATTAAATAGACGGTTTTGTTGTTTTTAGTACACTAGACTGAAGTGAGTTGTTGACTCTTTGTAACTTTTTTATAACGCGACACTGTCTTTCTGTTATGTTTCAGATGATAGTTTTGTTATTTACATGGATAAACAAATTATTCTTAAATAAATTAATACATAAATTATAAGAAAATATTAATAGGTTAGTTAATTAATACATCAATTAATAATATTATCATCATGATTCAAAAGAAATAATTATTATTATTATTACTATTAAACGTAAAACTAACGATTTATGTGTAAATACCAAGGTTATTGATTTTCTAAGTATCGCAGGCAAAATAGTACTGTATCAGAAATTCAGAAATGTTATTTGTAAATGAAATCTTCTATATTCTTT